GACAGTGTGTGCCTCTGTGTGTGTGTGAGCAGATAGTGTCTGTACGTGTGTACAGACTGTGTGTGCCTGTACAGTGTGTGTGTGTACAGACAGTGTGTGCCTGTGCGCGTGTGTGTGTACAGTGTGTGCCTCTGTGTGTGTGTACAGACAGTGTGTGCCTGTGCCTCTGTGTGTGTGTGAGCAGATAGTGTCTGTACGTGTGTACAGACTGTGTGTGCCTGTACAGTGTGTGTGTGTACAGACAGTGTGTGCCTGTATGTGTGTGTGTACAGCGTGTGTGTACAGATAGGGTGTGTGTGTACAGACAGTGTGTGCCTGTACATGTGTGTGAGCAGATAGTGTGTGTGTCTGTACGTGTGGACAGACAGTGTGTGCCTGTGCACGTGTGTGTGTACAGTGTGTGCCTGTGTGTGTGTGTACAGACAGTGTGTGCCTGTACATGTGTGTGAGCAGATAGTGTGTGTGTCTGTACGTGTGGACAGACAGTGTGTGCCTGTGCACGTGTGTGTGTACAGTGTGTGCCTGTGTGTGTGTGTACAGACAGTGTGTGCCTGTACATGTGTGTGAGCAGATAGTGTGTGTGTCTGTACGTGTGGACAGACAGTGTGTGCCTGTGCACGTGTGTGTGTACAGTGTGTGCCTGTGTGTGTGTGTACAGACAGTGTGTGTCTGTACGAGTGTTTGTGTGCATACAGGTAGTGTACATGTGTGTGCGCGTCTGTGTACAGATAGCGTGTGTGCGAACAGATAGCGTGTGTGTGTGTAGAGATACAGAGTGCGCGTACAGGTAGAGTGTGTGTCTGTACCTGTGTGTGTGTACAGATACAGAGTGCACGTACAGGTAGAGTGTGTGTCTGTCCTCCCTGCTCTCTGCCTGTACTCGGCACTGGTGTGGCCACACCCTGAGTACTGCATTCAGTTTTGGGCCACTCACTTTAAAAAGGACATCGAGGCACTGGAGTGACTCCAGTGAAGGCTCATAAAAGGCCCAGCAAGGAAGGGCTGAGGGAGTTGGGTTTGTTTAGTTAAACAGCTCAGGGGTAACCTCATCGTTCTCTACAGCTACCTGGGACTAGATGATCTTCAAGGTCCGTTCCAACCTCTTAACACTCGATGATAATATGTATACACTTGCATGTTTGTACAAGGACTATAAATACACATGAGTATATATATATACACACACAACACACACACACACACACACACACACTTGTGTGTATGTGCAGGGAGCTGAGCTGTGCTGGGATAGCCCTGGTGGCACTGCCTCAGAAGCCTGGATGTCCTTGATGCTTTCACGTGCTTACCTGAAAACACAGGGAGAGCTGTCTCACACCAGAATGCTTGTGATCTGCAGGCTCCTAACAAGGATTTAATATACAGGCTGCACAATATATTCAGTATGTGATGTATCTTCTTGTGGTTACTAAATGGAGTTAATCAGAGTGGGTTTTCTGATCTGCAGCCTGTCCTGAAGCTTCTCTCAAACAAGGTGTCTCTCCCTGGGTTTCAGTTATGTCATGAAAGCATTGAGTTTAATTTCTGCCGGTGAAGAATTAAGCAGCTCTTAGTGCACGCCATTTTCTAATTATAATTGTAATAATTGCAATTAATTAGAAATGGCAGTTACAGCAAATGCTGAAATGGTTATGCATGTAGTATGTGTACATTGCACATATATAGGGATGTATTTAGCATTAAGCAGCAATTGCAGTTGTAAAGTACACTAAAACACTCTCTGTCCTATGCTTGTAGGTGGTTCTCCTGGGGATTGACATAATTTCTGCACTAGTGTCCCGTTTGCAAGATCGCTTCAAGGCCCAGATTGGCACAGGTAAGGGAACTGTGTGTCAGTGTCACCACTGCTCTGCTAGCATCTGCTCTGGCTGCTGGACACAAAGCTTGTTTTCCCCCCAGAGGATCACTTGGGAGGCTCTTGGTGGTTTCAGGCTCTGGGGAAGGGCAGGAGGGCTGGTTCCTCCTTTGGGTGGGAGGAGAGCAGAGGGGCTGTGCCACTGTGGCAGTTTTTTCCTGCGGGATTCGGATGTACCTGTTCTCTTTCCTCAGTGCTGCCAAGTTTACTTGATAGGCTGGGAGATTCTAAGGACTCAGTAAGGGAGCAGGATCAGACGTTGCTGCTGAAAATCATGGATCAAGCTGCTAACCCTCAGGTATGTTCGACAGTAATCCACAGCATGAGTGACTGGCTGTGTAAAAGCTAAAACACTTCTCTGTCAGAGGGTTTTCTCCTGTGGCTCTGTCTGAAATGGCTTCATCTCCCTTCACCTTGTTATGAGATACTTGCTTCCCTTGAGAATGCTGTTCCATGGCAGAATACACATGGGAGCATGAGTGCTGCTGGATTTGGGATGGGTGGATGTCAGAGTAGTTGTTCTGGGTCTTTGGAAGCTACTTGCTTTCTGCAAGTATGAGTATTGTTTTAGGTAGTGGGGAGTTCCTGTGAAGTCAGTGCAGAACAGAGAACTAGTCATATCTAGGTGTCTTGCTGCTTCTTGTCCTGTTCTGCTTGGATGGGTGCAAAGCTTATGTGTTAAGCTCCAGAGATGACGTGGTATATGTCTGCTGGAAGAGAGAATCTGTTTCTTCCCCTCCTTTCTTTTTTTCTGTCTGATTGCCTTTTTTATCTTCCACAGTATGTGTGGGACAGGATGCTAGGAGGATTCAAACACAAAAATTTCCGGACAAGAGAAGGGATTTGCCTCTGCCTTATTGCAACACTCAATGCGTAAGTCAGAACTCTCTGCAAAGCTGTGTTGTGTACACAAACCTGCTCTGTGATTCACAATGGTGCTCCTTTGTTCTTTATTCCCAGATCTGGAGCTCAGAGTTTAACACTGAGTAAGATAGTGCCACATATATGTAACTTACTTGGAGATCCAAACAGCCAGGTAAGCGTTTGCTGTGAGTCACGTCTAAAGGTTGTGCTGATTGCTTTGTTGGCAAGCAGAGCTCTGCCTTCTGGCTGGTAAATGAGCTAATTGTGCTGCTGCTGGTGAGCTCTGAACAATGCTGCACATGAAGAACCCTTGACTGGTTTTGGAGAGATACTATTTGATTTCTAAACAAGCATAATAATGACTCCAGGAGTTCAACAGAACAATATGAATCTACAGGAGAAATGAACGGAGCAGGAAACCTTTGTGGGAAGGGAACTCTTCTGCCTTACAGCCTGAATATAGGGCAGGCTAGAGGGATACCTCTGGGCTCAGTGCAGCACTCTTCACCTTCAGAGAGCAACCAGTCTGGGCAGAGAGGGCAAATGGAACCAGTGGGACAACCTGGCCATGTGCACTGCCAGTTGTGCAGGGAAGTTCTCAATAAGGGGTGAAGACGAGCTGTGTGTAGGGACCTTAAATCAGCAATGCAATCCAAATGAAAATACAAGTCGAAAAAAATAAATCTGTTGCTTCTATGTTCTTTCTGACCTCTTTGATTAAATGCAAATATGTGAGGTTAGTGAGAAGAGGGGGATGGGAAAACAGGCCTTAAACTTGTCTTGTGTAATGTGGACTATCAGTCTTTTAGTGTCCCTGTAGCCCTGCCAACAAGGGTGACATGTGTGATCTAGTTCTGGAGAGGGTGTTCAGCTGGGAGGAAGTGTGGGGAGCTCTGTGTCCAACTAAGGAATGGGTTTACATTGGCTCTGGGGGGTTGGCTGTATTCCCATGGCTGCCAGGGCCTCCCCTTGCTGAGCAGGAGAACTGAGTGTGAAACAGCCTTCCCTTGCTGCTTAGAGTCATAGAATCATCCAGGCTGGAGGAGACCTGTAAGATCATAGAGTCCAACCATTAGCCTGACACTCTGCTGTAACCCCTAAACCATATCCTCCAGCATCAGATCCAGATGCCTCTTAAACACTTCCAGGGGTGGTGACTCCACCACCTCCCTGGGCAAATCTATTCCAGTGCCTGACCACTTGTGCCAGTGCTGGAGGATAAACTCATTACCACAAGAAGTTTCTGAGGAAGTTTCATGTTCAGGGTCCTCTAGTTCTGAGCTGAGACTAAGCAAGCTGTTACCCTTCAAGCAGGTACTGGGTTTAGGGCTGGAACTTGCTGAACAAACAGATGCCCTTGCTCCTGCTGTGGGTGAGCTGTTGGATAAATTGGGAAGTTGGTGAGGGCACCGAGACATATTTTCCCTTTACACTGCCTCTTCCTTGTGCCTGGCACAACTCGTTATTCCATACCCAGCTGCAGGAGCAAACAAGGCTAATCTTTCCCTTTCTCCTGGATCTGGTTCCTTTTTTCCCAAAAGCTCCCGCAGGGCTGCTGCGATGCTAGTGCTTTCTCCTGAGCGCTGGGAGACCTGCTGCTTGGTCACTGCTGCCCTCTCTTGGAGAGAGTGGATGGAGAAACAGATCCAGGTCAAGTCGAGGTTTTGGTTTTTTTTTGTTTTTTTTTTGTTTTTTTTTTTTTTTTTTTTTTTTTTTTTTTTGTTGTTGTTGTGGATGTGGAAGCTGTTCCATTACAGCCCTTTTACAGTTGTTGTTTTCAGCTCATGCAGTTGTGTAACTCGGTGTGCATTTGGTGTGGCAACAGTAGTTAAACTCTGATTATCTTCTCAAAAGTAAAATTGAGCTTTATTAAAGCTTTGTTGTTGCTGTGGTAGACTGAACCAAGTATGATGGTAGGGGCTCCTTGCCTTATCCAGCCTGGGGTTTATGCAGTCCTGCAGCTGTGGTTAGCTGTAGATGCACAGGCAATCCTTTGTACCATGCACAGGGGACCCACAGCTGTGCCCTGTGCCACGGATGGAGGGGCATGGCAGCAAGCTGGGGCTGTGGTAGGGCTTGTCAGCATACCCTGGCTGTGGGCCTGGGTTCTGGGGCAGGCTGACTTCCTGCAGGTGAGGGAGATGTAGGTGCTGGTGCTTCTTCTCCCTGTCTGTCCGGGGCAGAAGCGTGAGGATGGATTAGGGTCTGTGTACCCAGAAACTGGGGACAGCAAAGAATCCTGCCAGAACTGTGCCCAGAAGTTCTGCCTGGTGATATACAGGGCTGATGGGCAGAGAGATGAGAGGCAAGGGCACTGAGTAAGGGCTGGCATGAGTGGAGGAGAAGTTTGGAAGCTGGCAGTGACCTCCTGAATGGGAAGGCTGCAGAGCAGGAGAATAGAATGAGATGAGTGTGAGTCAAATGTTAGTGCTGTTTGGCTAGGAAGTAGGGCACATGTGCTTGCCCTTCAACTCCTGCCTGCAGGTGATTCTAGCTTGTGTCCGCAAGATATTCTGTGTCTAGTCCTGAGGTGTGTGGTTAGCTGCCAGACCATCTTCTGAGAAGCAGCTCTTTAGGCATTTCTGTAGGCAGAGCAGATACTTTGCCTGCTCTGCCTGCTGTGTCTGATGGAGGAAGGGGATTAAGTACAGAAAGGTGACACTTAATCAGATTTATGTCTCTTCTGTTGGCTGAAGGGAAGGATGTGCTCAGCAATTTCTTGCAAATCAGTTTGGAAAACATGAAAAATTCATGGTGACTCAGGTGATTGATTACTCCTCCCTCCCTCCATGTTTTGTTATCAACATAGAAACATAAGTTTGTAAGACAGCATTAAAAATCAGTTTAGTTTATAATGTCCTAGTAATATAAGGTCTGTTCATGTCTCTCATGTACCTATTGCACACAATGGCAAAGGCAGCCAAGCTCTTTATGTACCAAACCTTTAATCTTAGGCCTCCAGTGCCTTTTCAATTAAATCAGACCTGCTGATACTGCTAATATCTGAAAGGCAGGGATGGAAGCTCCTTCGTGAACTCTGTGGTCATATGCGTAGTGGCAACTGTTGTTGCTGAGAAATACGCAAATTCAGTTCTCCAAGCTAGGACAGGGATTTCTTTATTTAAATTGCAAAGGTGATTGATTTCTCTCCTCTCTCACATTCAGGTTCGAGATGCAGCAATAAACAGCCTTGTGGAAATTTACAGACATGTTGGTGAACGTGTAAGGGCTGATCTCAGTAAAAAAGGATTACCCCAGTCTCGGTAAGTTGGGAATGTCCTTAAGTCTTCGCTATTTTTGGGCTCTTTTTCATTCTCTTCCTTCCTTTACAAGGCTTCAGGAGCTGCATGATTGAGCCTTTACCTCTGATCAGGGCTTGATTTTTTTTTTTTTTTTGGATTTTTTTTTTTTTCATCTGACAAACACTCAGGTTTCCCTTAATGTGGATCCTGTACCTTTGCCCAGGTATGGCACAGCATCTTTGGAAAGCCAATAAAATTATTACAGCTGTTTAGTTAACTGATTTAGGATAAAATGATTTAAGATTTTTCCTGGATGTTCTGCATATGTAGAGAGGACCTTTCAGAGTAGCCTGTATTTGTGCAGCTTAGAACAAAAACCCACAGTCAGTCCATCAGTTTTAAGGCTTTATTAAAAAAGCAGCAAACACACAAAACCCCCAAACTAAAACCAAGCAATCCTACATCAAAACCAAATCTATGTCCTCCTGCTTCTACTATTTGAGGTTAAGAAAGCTGCTCTGCATCTTGCCTGCAGTGCACAGGGTGGAGCAAGGTTAGACTTGAGGATGGAGTAGATGGCAGCTTGTCAGGGCACAGAGGGAGGAGAGAAGAGGTGGGTGCACACAGGTGGAGGCAGCAGTGTTGCCTCTTGTTCTCCAGTGAATACATGTACTCCCACAATGTGGTTCAAAGTAATAGAATCTCTAGGAAGGAATAATGAGATGTGGTAAGGATCAGCTGCACCAGGCCTGTGGCATAAACAGGAAAGTGTCAGGGCCAAAGACAAATGTTGTGTGAGGTTGGGTTTTTTTAGGGTGTGTTTTATGTAATTCCTGCAAATAGTTGAGATGGGCAAAGTGGTAATGAACTGGAAATGTATCTACAATTAGCCATATCACATCTTCAGTAATGGAGTATTTCCAATTGTATCTCTTTATCTCTGTGGTATCAGTTGTTTCTCAGTTTTTCTTATCAGCTGTTGCATGTTGATATTTCTGTAAAATTTTAAAACAACTTCCTTCCACACTGATATTTTTGACAGTGCTCCCAATGACTTGCGTGAAGCCAAATTTGTTCTAAAACATTTTAAGATGTTTGAAGGTGGCTGCCCAGGGAAGTGGTGGAATCACCATCCCTGGAAGTGCGCAAAAGGTGTGTGGATGTGGCACTTGAGGACATGGTTTAGTAGTAAACATGGTGATGCTGCATTAAAAGGTTGGACTTGATATCTTAGAGGTCTTTTCCAGCCATAATGATGCTATGATTCTGCTATTCCTAAGAAGTAAATTCAGCTGTTCATTGTGTATTTCTTTAACTTTCATACAGATTGAATGTAATTTTTACAAAATTCGACGAGGTCCAAAAATCTGGAAACATGATCCAGAGTTCAGGTGGTGAGTAGAAGCACTTGTATTCTCTTTTTGGTGTCTTTAGCAGTTGTCAGTTGGTGAGGCATTCAAATGGACATAGCACAAGCATTCTGTGAGGGAAAACATTGTGATGATTGTTCAGAACTACACACAGAGCTTTTGCAACAGATAAAATAGATGTTTCGTTAATCTGCTCTGCATTTTTGTAGTACCAGAAGGAGAATGAAGCCTAAGTTTCAAGAACAGAAGGTGATGTTATAGCTGTCCTTCTTTTCCTGTAGAGTTACATTAGGGAAATGCATTCCCTGTTCTCAAGTCCACGTGCATTTAAATTGTTCATAAGGTGAATGAAATAGTAATTTCAGAGAAGAAACCTTGTCAGTTTAATGCCCTAAAAGGCACAGAGAGTGTACATATTAATGCAGTAGTGTGCCATTTTAAGCTCTTATTCTTTAGGGATTGTATTTTGCAGTTCCTAAGTTTGCATACTTTGTATGTTTACAACTGATAATCCAAGACACTTACCAGAGCCTTAATTCTGTCTCTCTTGTCTGAGACTAGTAATTTTCTTACTTTAATAGCAAGTGTTTATTACTGTTTTTCTTACAGATAAGCTTAGGAGCTAGAAAGTAATTTTAATAAGGATCACTCCCTGTTTAAAAATAGATTTTTGAGAGAATTCTTGGTGAGGAAATTCATATTTCTGCCAACAGCTGAGTAGAGCAGAGATGAAGAACCTGACTTCAGTACTGTGGGTTCCTACCAAGTTCACACTCTCTGCAAGGCCAGAGAGCAGGAGAGGTGGTGTCCCCAGTTGTTCTCCCCATGCTCTTGGAAGTCAAGAGAGCAGAGAGGTCTTTGCTCTTTTAAATTGGAAAAAGTATCTTTTTCACTTCTAAGCACCATTAAAATACAGTAAACTTCATCCCTGCAGGAAATAGTAAAATTAACTTATTTGAAAATCTTTAAGTTATATTTTGTATTACTCAGAAATGTGATGTGATACTCTCTTGTATATGTGGGAAGGATGAAGACCTAGTGCAGGTTCCTTAGTGATGGAATGGGTTCAAATTAGGCTTTTGCAATTATTATACAATGTGCAGTTGAGAAACAAATGTCCTTGTACTTTTTTAAAAGGGGGAGGAAGTAAATTTTTAATCCCTTAGCAAACTTCTTAAGGTTCACAACCTCCAGGTGACTGCAGTTGCTCTGAAATCTGTACTGAAACTGAAACAAGCTTATTGCTGGCTCAGCTGCTCTGCTTTCCACTTGGCTAGGCTCAGGTAGGATTTTTGTTTTGCTGGCAGTGGAATAGAATGGGTTTTCAAAAAAAGAAAAGGCAGATTGCATAATTGTGCTATGTAGATCACTGTTTTTTGGAGTTCAGGATGCAGAGTTGTGGTCTGCAGTGAGATGTATTGCTACACTGTCTTTTTAAATAAATTCTGAGGTGAGATGATGACTGTGGGTAAGATTTCCATTGGGTTTATTCTCTAGAGTGAGAGGGAAAGATTTTGGATTTGAATGTGCCCCCAGCCAAATTTAAGCTAAGTTTACGGAAAGCTTGTCTAATCTAAATGAAGGTGATTTTAGCAGAAAGATGTGTCACAACTGATTAAGAGGTGATTCTCCTCCTCTACTCTGCCCTTGTGAGACCCCACCTGGAATACTGCACACAGTTCTGGTGCCCTCAACATAAGAAGGACATGGAACTGTTGGAGCAAGTCCAGAGGAGGCCATGAAGTTGGTAAGAGGCTTGGAGCATCTCGCCTGTGAAGACAGGCAAGTTGGGGCTGTTCAGACTGGAGAAGAGAAGGTTGTGTGGAGACCTCACATCTGAAGGGCCTACAAGGGAGCTGGAGTGGAGAGCCTTGTTGGGAACTGCAATGATAGGATAAGGGGTAACAGGTTAAAATTGAAAGAGGGGAAGTTTAGATTAGGTATTAGAAAAAAAGCTATGGGTGGTGAGACACTGGCGCAGGTTTTCCAAGGGAAGTTCTGGATGCCCCAGCCCTGGCAGTGTTCAAAGCCTTGAGCAACCTGGTCTGGTGGGGAGGTGTCCCTGCCCAGAGCAGGGGATTGGGACTAGATGATCTGTAAGGTCCATTCTAGTCCCTAAAATTCTGTGATTCTATGATTAGAAAAGTATTAAGTATGGAATAGGTGAGATATATGTGAGAATATACATGAAGAGGAAGAAACTAGAGTTAATTTATTTGCATTGCAAGTTTAAGCTGTGCAATTGTTGTAGCATCTTCACATCCTAGAGCAGCACCATAATCATCACTTGGTAATCCTTGGCTTTTGAGAGGTGGTTCTGGTCTCTACAGTCAACATTCTGGCGTATGCTGTGATGGGATTCAAGGCTGCTGGCACCATGGAAAACCTCAAAAGCAGTGACATGGGATGATGGGGAATGACCTCTACTGTGCAGGCAATTCCTAGTGCCATCTCCTTCCAAGAAAGCAAAACACTTGTTTCAAAATTGCCAAACAAGGATTCCGTATGGATTTTCTTTTAATAACACAAGCCAAGCATCTGTGTGTATCAGATCTGATACTTTTAGGCTTCATTAGAATTATATTTTCTTTTTTACCCCTTTGTCACTGTTTTGATGAATTTGAAGATTCATTTTTTTTACTGCATTGAGTGCCTGAGACCTTACAATTCCTCTCTCATGTCCTTGACTCCATTGACAGGCTTTTAGTGCATTCAGACAGAAGTACTCCTGTCTTCCTCACTCTGCTTAACCTGATCTGCTCATGTTTTGCTATCCTTGCTCTTGCTGTGGCTGGATGCAGCCTCTGGAGCTGGACATTGAGACCAAAAAGTAGCCTGGGAGAAGAGGAGATGGGGAGAGTGGAGGGGTGTTAAGAGGTCAGAGAGAACAGAGGATAGGATCTCCTATTGCTCTGCCAGAACCTTTTTGTCCTCCCTAACAAGAAAAAGAGTCTGTAGTTGCAGAGTTAAAGTAGTTCTCATTTGTGAAGCTAGTGATGATAACATTACTTATTAATATTTTGTGTGTGTGTTTGAGGGGAGGGTTCAGTTTCCTGTACTGCCATAGGCTGGTTTGTTGCTTCCTCCAAGCACAGCACAAACACAGGGCACATGTTCCTCCTATCTAATGTGTCAACAGCTCTGTGCAACTTTCAGTTTATCTTCTGGAGGTTGTGTAAGCCAACGAAAGAGACTTATCTTCACCCATGGTCACAAGTTTATGACGACCTAAAGACAAGCTAAGTTTGTCAGGTTTCTTGTGTTCTTGTGTCCCTGACACCTTCTGCAGCTTTTGAACAAAGGTGGTGCGTTCAGCAGTTGTCAGAGTCACCAGGGAAGCTGGTGATAAATACTGCACATCCAAAAGATTGTCTTTTCTCAGGAAATAGTTGTCAGGTTTGTTTACACTTTCAGTCTGGCAGAGTGGTTGTATGGGTGAATGTGCCAATCTCTGCTCCTCTGGTGGGTAACCAAGAGCAAGCTGTTGGCTGAAGGGTCACTCATAACTGAGTGCTGGGGTTGTGGTAATTGCAGCAGAACTCAGGAGTGGTTGTCAAACCTTTATTATCACAGAACATGGTGGTGCTGGGCAGGTGGGAGAGCAACTGTGGCTTCTGGAATGGTGGAATATGGTACAAAATGGTCAAATACAGTACAAAATGGTCAAAGATGAATGATGACTAAAACTGGTCTCTTGGCTCTGACACTACTGTTGGGGATAAGTTTCCTCTACTGAGGATTCAGTAAAAGAAAGCAATTGCAGTAGCACTGCTTGTGTATCAGGAGTGTTTTAGAGATTAGCAACTGTAAGTTGCTAGAGATGCTGTAAGTTGTTAGAGATGTCCTATCTAATGATTCCCAAGACACAGGCTAATAGAAATCTAACTCAGACTACTAGAAGAGGTGTTTAAAATAACAGGACATTTTCTTAACCCAAAGAATAAATCTAATACATCAACTGTAATCAGATGAATTTTAAGCCTCTGGAAAGATTTCACATTTTGTATGTGTTCATCTTTCTATGCTGTGGTCCATGAGTGCTGCTTTGAGTTTGTCTTGAATGGTTTTATTTTTATTTTTTTTTTGGCTAGGCTTTGTTTTTATCATTTAGTAAAACAAGAAGCAAATGCATAGTGGGGTGGGGGAGGTTTGCATAGTAATCTGAGGTGTTTCATTAAGTCAGAGGGAGGTTTTGGCATGCCCAAGTATGCTGCTTGTTGCTAGGCTACCACAGCCCTTATAGCTAGAATATGAAGTTAAAATCCACGTCGGATTTCTCGATGATTCTCATTGCATCTCTGTTTTGTTATTTGGCATATAATTAGTCAGCCTCTTGAAGCAAAAATTATAGTTTTCCCCCCTTTGGGCTTTCAGCAAGCTAATTATTTTCTGTGTAACTGCTTTTGCTAATTATGCAGATGCCTTATTCCCCTGGGACAAATACATTTTCAGCATGAAAGAGCCAATAATTGCCAGCCAGTCAGCTGCTGTCTTCGTGTGGCATTGTGTGATGATCTCTAGTTGGATGTGATACAGAGAGAAGCTATTGGGCACAAACAGAGACTTCAAGAAATTCATGCTGCACAGGTTTCCTTGGTATTATCTGGAAGGACCTTAACAGGAAGTGTACAGTTTTCCCATGGATTTGAATTGATTTTGGATCAGACCTGGAGTCCAGAAGACTTTATAATCAAGTTTTAATACAGATTAAGAATAAGTGATAAACTGAGGAATAGATGTTGATAGGAACCGATGACCCAAACCAAAGCTATTAGTAACCAAAATATTTTGGTGTATTTTTCATGCTTTTGATCGTTGTGATATCCTAATATGACATTCTTTGATTTTTATAAGTCAGAGTTTTTGGGAGATGCTTCTGTATTTGTGGGTGCAGGGGTACTGCTGTGGTGTGCCTGTAGGGATTTGAACTTTCTCCTTGACACTGCATTTTGACTTGGGAGAACAAGATTTAGGGGCAGTGAAGGTGGTAGTGCCAAAGCCAGAATCTGGAGCTGAGATCTCTC